AAAACCAAAAAAAAAAAAAAAAAAAAAATTCCTGGAACCAAGCCTCAGAGATACTGTCATCTCTGATCTTTCTCCTCCTCCTCCTCTTCCTTCCTCTTCCTCTTGCTCCTCTTCTTCTCTTTGGGTTTTCAAGACAGGAACCCACTAAATAGCCCCATTTCTTCCTGTTGCATCCCACAGGTAACATGTGTCAGTGTGTTTTAAAGGACAGTTAGTGGCCTAGATCATAGATGTGCAACCCAGGTAGCCTGCTTCAGCAGCCCTGTGCAGAGGAACTTTCTGCAGGCTTCTGGAGAGTAACTTGGATTTGTTATACACAGTGAGAGAGCAGCAGCTCTTGAGCTCTTGCAATGTGACATCTGTGACCGAGGAATGGGTTTCATTTCATTCCATTGTAGCCCCTTTCCACTGAAATGGGGCCAAAAGTGAGGCCACAGGCTTGACTTCTGAAACAGGCTTCTTCTGAGGGCAGGGAACTTATTTTCTGGGCTCTCTGGCCCTCTGGCCCGATGATGTCCCTTTATTGTGAGGGAAAGGTTGGTGAGAACTGAGATCCACCTGGGGCCATGTGGAAAGGGATCCGAAGAGCTGGACAGATTTTTATGATGAGTGTGTCCAGCCTTTGAGACAGTGGGAGACAGTATGGAGTCTTGTCTTCTACATTTGCATCTATTTAAACATTTTCTGACTCAGGTAGTGTGAGAATACATGGTTGTCATGGAAAAAGTAGGACTTAGTTTATTAGCTGTTTATTTTTAAACAGTCTCGCTGCTGTTTGGCTCAGGCTAACCTGAAACTTGTCACCATTTCTGTATGTTCACCTCTAATGCTTGGATCCCTGATCCATTTAAGCTGATGGTATATGTGATTTGTCTCTCCGGGTGTCTCAGTATGGTGTGTTCAGAAGACATGTTTTCTACAAAAACTCATTGGCTGGAGATGTAGGGGTGCTTATTCTGTTTTGCTGTGTCTCTGGTTTTGTTGTTGTTTTTGTCGGTTTGCTTTGTTTTGTGTAGACCAGGCTAGCCCTGAATTCACAAGTGCTGGCATTAAAGGTGGCTTCTGTGCTGGGTTTTGTGCCTGCACTGGACGCTCTTGATTTTGTTTTGCAGTAAGACCTGGAGGCAAGACAATGGTCTTCCAAGGTTACTCTTCTTTCCCAAGGTGGTTTTGGCTGCTGACTCCCATGCAGTTACATCTAAACTGTAAGACCAGCTTGTTGATTTCCGAATGAAGCCAGCTGGAATCTGTGTGGGTTTGTGCTGGTTGTGTGTATTGATATGGAAATGCTGAACTAAGAACACGATCCAAAATAAATGATGCCTTTTTATTTATTTTTGGTTTTTTGAGATAGGGTTTCTCTATGTAACAGCTCTGGCTGTCCTGGAACTCATTCTGTAGACCTGGCTGGCTTTAAACTCACAGAGATCAGCCTGCCTCTGCCTTCCAATTACCACCCCCTGGATGGGTGGAGATATATATATCATATACGGCGATAAATATGAGAGAGAGTCTCTTTTTTGTTTTGTTTTGTTGAGATATGTCCCTTATAGCCCAGGCTGGCATCAAAATAATTATGTATCTCAAAAAGAATGACTTCAAACTTCTGATCCATCTGCTTCTACCTCTAGAGTGCTAGGATTATAGGCATGTGTCCCCATCCCTGTTTTAAGCTGGGATCAAATCCATAACCTTGTGCATAACAGGCCAGCGCTCTACCCACTGAGCTACATCCCCACCCATTTTTATTTCAACTGTGGTTCATAGTTTTCAGAATATACTGTTTATGCTTGTGTTAAACTTAAGTGTTTTTTTTTTTTTTTTGATACTATGGCCCAGAAATTTTTCTCACATAAGAAGTATTTAATTTTTTATGTGTATATGGGTGTGTCTGTGTGGGAGTATGTGGACATGAGGGCAGAGGAGGGCATCAGGTCTCCTGGAACTGGAGTTACAGGAGGTTGTGAGTTTCCTGCTGTGGGTGCTGGAAGCCAAACTGGGTCCTCTTCAGGAGCAGTACATGGACCACTGAGGCGTCTTACCAGTGAGCTTTGATACTCAGGTGTTAGCAGTACCTTATTCCCCTGACACCAGCCCAGCATCCCGTGTACCTTGGCTTTGGCTCTGGTGTGGGGAGATTCCGTGATAAACAAGGGCACTTGAGCGTGGGTTCCTCGAGGCAGGGATGCCTCCTTTGGTTGCCTGCCTGAGATGACCCCCCTGACCCCATGTTCTTGCTTTGTTCAGGGTTTCTTGGAGGAGACCAGCCTGTTTTATGGCCACTACACCATTGATGGAGTGAAATTTCAGAACTTCACGTATGATCTGCCCCTGGCTTACTTAGTTAGCACGATTGCCTACCTGGCCCTGAGTCTGCTCTGGATAGTGAAGAGGTGAGCGCCCCTTGCTTCCCCCTCCTCTTTGATTGCCATTTGTGTCAGCATGGCTCTTACTGCTGTGACCAAACACCTGGCAGAGACAGTTCAAGGGAGGAAAGATCCATCTGGGCTCACGGTCGCAGGGACTTTCAGCCTCTCGCAGTGGGAAAGGCAGTAGAAGAGGGCAGGAAGCTTGTTCATATGGTGGTGGGTCAGAAAGCAGAGAGCACTGTAACCAGGAGTCCAGCCCTGTGACCTCCCTCTGCGAGCCTGTCCCACCTCTTTTTTTATTTTTATTTTTATTTTTTTTTGGTTTTTCGAGACAGGGTTTCTCTGTGTAGCTTTGTGCCTTTCCTGGATCTTGCTCCATAGACCAGGCTGGCCTCAAACTCACAAAGATCCACCTGTCTCTGCCTCTTGAGTGCTGGGGTTAAAGGTATGTGCCACCACTGCCCGGCCTGTCCCACCACTGCCCGGCCTGTCCCACCTCTTAAAGGTTCCACATCCTCCCTACATTTTCCCACCCCCATAAGTCTGTGGGATGTCTCAGATTCTTGGTGGCTGGAGTCTCTTACTGTTGTATGGATTCTGGAAGTCAGGGTCTGAAAAATAAGCAGAGCCCACAGGTGGGCTTCAGAGGAAGGGGTTGAGTGTGTTACAGCCAAGACTCTGATGGAGTAGAAGTCAGGAGCTGGCAGCTGGGGCAGCAGCCTACAGTTCAGTGTGTGCTAAGTACCTCTTCCAGATCCCTCTTCCTCACAGGCTTCCTTCTGGCCGGGGAGTATTATGTTAACTGGGTCTCCATTGGCTTGCAAGTGGCAGAAAACCAACCCTGGTTAATTGGACCATTGGGGAATTGAGTGCACAGCGAGCCAAGGAAGGGGGAGAGACTTCTGAGAAGCACACAGCCTTGGTTTAGGAACGATATTAAAATCAAGAGCCTCCTCAGCTCTGAGTGTCTGTGTGGCGGCAGTTCCCTGCAGTGGTGGGAAATAGCACATCGGTCTCTACCAGCCTGCAGCTCCTCTGGCCATGGGCACAGAAATTCTGTGAAGGTGTTGTTGGCTCCGTCCACACAGATGCCTCATCCTGACCCTTTCACTGTGGTCAGGGCCAGGAGACTGTGTTGAGCTCCTCTTAGTGTGTGTCTATCCCCTGGTTAGGGTCATGTAGCTTAGATGTGAAATGCCCTCTGAAGGCTCAGGTGTTGAAGGCTTGGTTCCCGGATGGTGACCTTTAGAGGTGAATGCACCATGAGCATGCTAATCTCAGAAATGGGGCAATCCACCAGTGAGTTCACAGCTGAGTGGCCTGTTAGGAGCCGGGCCTGGTTGGAGGAAGCAGGCGACACATTGTGTCAGTCTCCCTTTCCTTTCCCTTTCTCTGCTTCCTGGATACCATGAGGTATTTCCCTCTCCCCCTTTCTGCTTCTTCCACCATGCTCAGCTGCCATAATGCCCTCCTCCTCACCTCAGACCCAGCAATGGATCCAGCCAACCGTGGATAGATGTTTCTAGAACAGTGAAGCAAATAAACCTTTCCTGCCTTAAGCTGTCTATCTCAGGTATTTGCCACAGTGTGACAAGTCTGTCTGACAGGTCATAAGACACCAAGGCCTTTCCCTGGTGGTTTGGTGAGAGAGCAACTCCCAAGAAAGGAGGGAGATTCTAAATACTGTCGACAGCTGTCTCACTGAACACTAGCCTGAACACAATAGAAGCTGTGTCTGTGAACACCGCAAAAGACTTCCGCATTAAAACTTTGGGCCATGCATCATGCATGCTAGTGCATGCCTGTGATCTCAACTACTCAAGAGGCTGAGGCAGGAGGATCACAAGTTTGAGGGCAGCCTGGGCACTTCAACAACTGTTTCAAAATAAAAATATTATAAGGAGTCTAGCTCAGTAATTGACCTGGCTTGGGAGAGACTTTGGATTCAATTTTTTGGCATTGCAACAAATAAATAAATATGTAAGGTGAAATAAATAAGACATATTATTTTGAAAAAGGAGTTACCGAGTAGAGGGCTGAAGAGATGGCTCAGTGATTATGTACACTGGCTGCTCTTCCAGAGGACTGGGGTTTGATTCCCAGAACCCACGTGGTGGCTCACAACCATGTATAACTCTAATTCTAGGTGATGTAATGCCCTGTTCTGGCCTCCACAGGTAACAGGTGCACATATGGTACACAAGCCATACATGCAGGCAAAACACCCATACACATAAAGTAAGTCTATCTTTAAAGAAGTTATTGAGTGGATAAAAGATAATGATTTTCATCAGTGAGGTACCTGCTCACCTGCCACATAGATTTAGAATAAACTTGGCTGTGTCTCAGTGGGCCAGCAATGCTGCCATGTCCAACGTCAGATCTTAAAAGAGACCAATTCACGGGCCCATGTTTTGGTGTTGTTCTCAGAATGATGCTTGTGTTTTGGGGTCAGGTCGGTGGAAGGGTTCAAAATCAACCTGATCCGGAGTGAGGAGCACTTCCAGAGTTACTGTAACAAGATCTTCGCTGGCTGGGACTTCTGCATCACCAACCGCAGCATGGCCGAGCTGAAACACAGCAGCTTGCGGTATGAGCTCCGAGTGAGTGCTGCTGGGTTGCCCTGGGGAGGAGCCTCGCTGCCAGGCTAGGTCTGGGGAGGCTCTTTGCAGATTACACGGTATCTCAGGGCCCATTCTGTCTCAGCAAGCTTCCCCTTGGCTGGTTTTAGGAGCAAACAGCTTATTGGGTTGATCACCTTTAACCCAAGTATGGGTGCTGATAACTTGGGACTGGGATGGGAGGTAGGACACACAGGGGAGATGGTGCCGTCCCTCCATCCCCTACTTTCTTATTAATATCCCTACCTGGTCATAGTGTCATAAGCATTGTTTGCACTAGAAACATGAAGGGAATACTGTGATGACAGAATGGATTAGAGGGAAGTTGAAAGATGACAGAAAAACTTTCCATAAAGAGAAATGAATAGCAGCTGGTTGGTCAAACCCATCAGAAAAAGTTTAAGGAAGGTGGATGGGGTTGGCTCTATTTATTGTTCTTTACAGTAACTATGAACAGATTAAATTCTCCTGTTAGAAGCAGAGACTCCCAGGCTGGATTAAAAACAAACAACCATAGCAGGACATACTCATAATCTTAGCTACTTGAAAGGTGGAGGCAGAAGAGCTGAAATTTTAGGCAATTTAATAAGACTACCTCAAAAACAAAAGCTTTTTTTTTAAGGGCTGGAGATGTAGGTGGTTGGTAGAGTGCTGGCCTAGCATACCCAGAGCCCTGGGTTCAATCCTCAGAACTTCAGATAAATAAATGACAAATTAATAAACAAAATTAAAATAATGATATATCCCATTTAAAGAAATAACGCACCATCTGCTCGTGTGCATGTGCACACACACAGCATCATAAATGCTGATTCAGCTTACACATTTATTACAAAGCCAAATGCAATCTCCAGTAGGGGTTCTACCTTACCATAAGCCTTAGATGTAAAAACTGGTGGGGCTTAGCCTGGGGAGGATCTTGGGCAACATGAACATTTAAGAGAAATCTGGGGGATATGTTACAAAATCCCCCTCCCATTGCTCACCAATGAGTTTTCTTTGGTCCCCAGGCAGATCTGGAGGAAGAGAGAATCCGGCAGAAAATAGCTGAAAGGACCTCAGAGGAAACCATACGCATTTACTCCCTGAGGCTGTTCTTGAACTGCATTGTGCTCGCTGTGCTAGCGGCGTGCTTTTATGCAATCTACCTAGCCACTACCTTCTCACAGGAACACATGAAAAAGGTAAGAGTTCCATGAGAGTCGGTTGACCTTGCGCTCTGGTGTGGTGGCACATACATATACATGTACATATATACACATATACATATTGTCTAAATCGGTCTAGTGACTGTCAGTCATCACGCATTAGATACCCAAATACCATAAATACCATCCAACTTGTGGCTTTGCCGTCCGTTCATATACTGTGGCTGTCTTCTGTATGGTACAAGATGGTTCACTGCCGTATCCACATGCTAGCCAAAGGGAAAGTGGTGGGGCTCATCTTTAAGGATGAAATACGGAGTTTGATTTAAAACTTCTGCTCTATTGCCTCCGCTAGAATTTAGTTTAGTTGTAACTGGCTTCCAGGAAGGCTCAGAAACTTAGTTTTCATCTTGGATAGCTCTACACATGGCTGAGTGATCTGCTACTATGAAGGAAGGACAGAATGGCTGTCACAAATCAATCATTAGAACATTCTCGGAAGTAACTTGATGGACTGTTCATACAGCATAGACAGAATTCTGTATACTTCACTAATATGTCCAGTAGCATTCATTATTCCTCCAGCATGGCACTAGGTCTCTGCATGTGTGCATCGAAGGAAGGGTCCAAGCATCTAAAGCTTATGTTTCCCAGCCACAATGGATGATAAATATGCTTCCCGTATCTGCTCAGCATGCACAGTTGAGTTCTTTTCAGTTCAAGTCTTTGCTGCCACCATCCCACTTACCCTGACTAGTGCTTTCTATTATCTTTCCAGGAAATTGACAAGATGGTTTTTGGGGAGAACCTCTTGATATTGTACCTCCCATCCATTGTGATCACACTGGCCAATTTCATTACCCCAATCATCTTTGCCAGGATCATCCACTATGAGGATTACTCGCCAGGCTTTGAGATCCGCCTGACAATTCTTAGGTAATGCCTAACTGCGTGCATGCTGGGTAGACCATTGCTTGTTCATGGCAGACATTGCTAATCGGTTGTGGCATATTTTCCAGATATGCTAAGAATCATCCTTCCTTTTGATGAGCCCCATGAATAAATTATCATCTGCACATGCAGTGAAGGGCCTTAGACTTCAGTCTCCTGTCAGTATTATACTTTTGATTCTGTATTAATGGAAAGCATAGGGTGGGGCCTTAGAAGAACATACTGTTCTAAACACGTTAGAATTGACAATATTAGGCAGAGTCCCGAGAGTTCACCCCAGTAAGTAAAGATGGCTGAGTGCATACTGTGCTTGAATAGGATTTCTTTTTCTACTGCTCAAATATCTGAGACTAAGCTTTTTTATTTTTTGTTTTTTTGTTTTTGAGACTGTCTTAGGGTTTCTGTTGCTGCAATGAAAACACCATGACCAAAAAGCAAGTTGGGGAGGAAAGGGTTTATTTGGCTTATCCTTCCATATCATTGTTCATCATTAAAGGAAGTCAAGACAGGAACCCAAGCAGGCTGAGAACCTGGAGGCAGGAGCTGATGCAGAGGCCATGGAGGAATGCTACTTACTGACTTGGTCTACATGGCCTGCTCAGCCTGCTTTCTTATAGAACCCAGGACCACCAGCCCATGGGTGATACCACTCACAGTGGGCTGGGCCCTCCCCCATCAATCACTAAATAAGAAAATGCCCTACAGGCTTGTCTACAGCCCAATCTTATAGGGGTTTTCTTTTTCTTTTTTCTTTCTTTTCTTTCTTTTTTTTTTTTTTTTAAAGAGCTGAGGACCAATCCCAGGGCCTTGCACTTGCTAGGAAAGAGCTCTACCACTGAGCTAAATCCCCAACCTCATTATAGAGTTTTTTTAATTGAGGCTCCCTCCTCTCTGATGACTCTTACCTTGTGTCAAGCTGACATAAAACTAGCCAGGACAGAGACAGTCTCAGTATGTTTAAGAAGGCTAAGGAATTTGTCTTTTATCCTGGAGAGCCTTTTATGTGGCTGAGTGAACTGCTGTTGAGAAAGACAATGGCTGTTGGGAATCTTTGTGATGTCCTCTATGGCCTCAACTCTAGATCCTTCAGCCTCAGCCCACTAAGTGCTGGGATTTACAGTCCTGAGCCACCACTCCAGACTGTATTTATATCTTTTTTAAGGCAAGCAAACAAGAAAACCTTTGCATTTTGTAATATGGGGTGGAAGGGGTAGGATTTTATTATTAGCACTTATCTGGACAAAAAAGTGCATTTCATTGTGATTTTTTCACACATGTATATAATATGTTTCAATCCTATTGACTTCCTCCATATTCTGTGCCTCCTTTCACTTATGTGGTACCCTCCCAGTCATTGTAGGATTTTTAAGCTTTTCCATTCAGTGGTTCCATTCATACTTGACCTTTGGCCCACCTTATTTCATGCATTCTTCTTGTTTACGCTGGGTTATATTAAGGAGCTCTCAGGTGGCATATCATTTCACCCATAAACACTTCAGTGTCTCCAAGTCACCAGGACTTGGTTTAACAAAACCTTACCACATATTCCAAAATAGAGCCAGTCTCCATGATGGAGGGGCTGGTGGCTTGTTCATATTAGGATCCACACAGGTCAACATGCTGAGTTTGATTACTGAATTAGTCTCTCTCTCTCTGTCTCTCTCTCCCTCTCCCTTCTTTCCTCCCTCCCTCCCTTCCCTCCACTTCTCCTCCGCCTCTTCCTCTCTGAATCAGGGTCTCACTATGTGGCTCAGGCTGACCTTGAACTCATCTTCTGTGTACCGTCATGCCTTGCTTTTTCCTGCCTTAGAACTGCAGGAGAGATGGCTCAGCGGTTAGGAGCTCTTGCAGAAGAACTGAGTTTAGGTCCTAGCACCCACATCAGGTGGCTTCTAACAGCCTGTAACCTCAGTTCTAGGGGATTCAATGTCCCCTTCTGGCCTCCATGGGCACCTGCATGCCTGTGCACATGTCCACACACAAACTCATACATGTGCATTAATGTATTAATAATAGTATTTTAAAACTTGTAATATATATATGTATGAGATATATATACCATACATATATAAATATTATATTATACCATACATATATAAATATTATATATATACCATTTGATCCATTTAAAGTGTGCAGTTCATTGGCCTTATGTCACTTCCCTGCCATCCACTTCCGCAGCAGAAACTGCCGAGGCTCAGGTTTGCAAGGATGGTGCCGTGTTCCTCAGCGTCTGGTCCACAGGAAGGCCAGCCCTGATGCCTTCTCTTCTCCTCCCCTCTTTCCCACAGGTGCGTCTTTATGCGGCTGGCCACCATCTGTGTGCTGGTGTTCACGCTGGGCTCCAAGATCACATCCTGTGGTGACAGCACGTGTGAACTCTGTGGCTATAACCAGAAACTCTACCCGGTGAGCCATGGCCTTGACTCCCAGCGTCAAAGCAGGTCTGGCCCCATGCCGGGCATGGTCAAGGGCTTGGATACTGAAGTCTGTGCAGGAGCGTAGGGGCAGCAGGGTGTGGAGATGATTGAGAGCACAGAAGGCTGGCTTCCTGGACTGGACGTGGGTACTTTATTATGTCTCCATGTCTTGATTTTAGTGCTGGGAGACACAGGTGGGACAGGAGATGTACAAGCTGATGATCTTCGACTTCATCATCATCCTGGCTGTGACACTGTTTGTGGATTTCCCCAGGAAGTAAGTGTGGAAGTCCCTGCCACCCCCACTCCATGACTTGGAAGCTCCCAACCCTGATGTTCTCCACAAGTGCTGGGTGACTTCACAGTCAACCAAGGAACCACTGACATCTAGTGACTTTCAAATGGCTCTAGGCTGTTGACACCATGGCAGCATTAGCCACTACATCTTTAGGTGGTACCACCTCCCACAAGGTCCCACAAGGCCTCCTCGTGTTGAATTCCTGTACTTGATGCAGCCAAGGCCCTACCAGGGCATTCACACTAGGTGTAGTTTCTGGATCTGGATTCACACCAGCTTCTTGCTGATCATGTGACTATGGACAAGTTATTTCTCTCAGTAACAAGACACTGAATTTCTCACCTGAGACAGGGACGGGATGATAGCAGGGCCACCTCACAGCCTTTCCCTGAGAATAAGCAAGATAGCTGTCTTAGTTAGGGTTTCTATTGCTGTAAAGAGACACCATGACCACAGCATCTCTTACAAAGGAAAACATTTAGTTGGGGGGCCTCTCTTACAATTTCAGAGGGTCAGTCCATTATCGTTATGGCAAGACATGGTGCTTGAGAAGGAGCTAAAAGTTCTTCATCTTGGTCCACAGGCAGCAGGAGTCTGTGACACTAGGCATAGCTTGAGCATAGGAGACCTCAAAGCCCACCCCCAGTGAAACATTTCTTCCAACAAGGCCACACCCAGTCCAACAAGGCCACACCCAGTCCAACAAGGCCACACCTACTCCAACAAGGCCACACCCACTCCAACAAGGCCACACCTGCTCCAACAAGGCCACACCTCCTAATAGTGCCACTCCCTGTGGGGACCATTTTTTCACACCACCACAATTACACAGATCCAAACAGGGAGAATACTCTGTGGCATAGAGTTCAACAGAATGTGACCCTCACCACTGTGACCCACACCACTGTGACTCACCTCTGTGACCCTCCTCACCACTGTGACCCTCCTCACCTCTGTGACCCTCCTCACCACTGTGACCCTCCTCACCACTGTGACCCACACCACTGTGACTCACCACTGTGACCCTCCTCACCACTGTGACTCACCACTGTGACCCACACCTCTGTGACCCTCACCACTGTGACCCTCCTCACCACTGTGACTCACCACTGTGACCCTCCTCACCATTGTCGTCATTGTTCTTCCGGGAGTCTTAAGGGACTCTCGTCTGCTCTCCACACAGTCAAGGCACCCGGGTGTGACCATGCAGGCCTGTCATTCCAGCACTCGGGAGGTTGAGGCAGGAGCATTATGAGTTCCAGACCAGCCTGGGCAACTTGAGCAGATAATTCAGATGTGGAATTATCCAGAAGTCCAGTGAGCCCTAAAGTTAGATATTAGGAAAGGAAGTGTAGGGGCCAGCAGGATGTCTCAGAGAGTAGGCACTGGTCACCCACCTGAGGTTGCTCACTGGGACCCACATTGTGGAAAGGGAGAATTGACTCCCACAAGTTGTCCTCTGACCTCTACACATGTGCTATTGCACATCTGTGCTCCCGGGTACATGCATACATATGAACATACATAAACAACATTTCTTTTTGATCAAAAGGAAACACTGGGCCGAGGAAATGATTCATTCGGTCAGTAAAGCACTTGCCATACAAACCTGAGGACCTGAATTCACATCTCCAGCCCCTGTGTAAAAGCCTGGAGTGACAGCTTGTGCCTGTAATCCCGGCATTGGAGAGTTGGAGCTGGGAGGATCCCTGGGCTCAGTGGCCAGCCACTTCAGTGACCTTCAGCCCAATCAGTGAGCTGTGGGCTCAGTGAGAGACCCTGCCTCAAAACATAAGGTGGAATGTGACTGAGGGAGACATCTGATGCCAGTCTCTGGCCTCTGCAGGCACATTCTCACACCCACATGCACAAACATGCATACACTCACACACACACACACACACACACACACACTTGAACTTGCTATGTCAAGGATGTCGGTTGGTGGTGGATACGGTTCTCTTGCCTTAGGGGCACTCGTAGACTCAGGTAAGAGTGTGTCTAGTTTGTTTCCAGGCTCCTGGTGAACTACTGTGCCTCCTCGAAGCTGATCCAGTGCTGGGGGCAGCAGGAGTTCGCTATCCCAGACAACGTCCTGGGCATCGTGTACGGACAGACCATCTGCTGGATCGGAGCCTTCTTCTCCCCGCTCCTCCCCGCAGTCGCCACCTTGAAATTCATTATCATCTTTTATGTGAAAGAGGTGAGGAAAGCAGATGGGGCTCACACCCTGCACCCCTCTTCCTGTCGGTGTGATATTGCAGTGCTGTGGACAGGAGCCCAGTGCCTGCAGCATGCCAGGCTGGGGGTGCAGCACTGAGCTGTGTCCCCAGCCCCATCTGAGGCACTGACATGTTTGAAGGCCCTCGAGCATATCGTAATTACATGTCCTTCCAACCCAGGGCCTCCTGCGATGTCGCTTCCTTAATACGTGTTTACTCTAGGAAAAGGCTTTCAGTAACTTTTCACCTCTTTTTGCTGTATGTTTCTGACTAGCCTCAAATCCCCGATCTTCCTGCCTCGACCTCCCAAGGGCTGGGCTTATAGGTCGTTTTTGTTTGGTTTGGTTTGACAACTTTCTAAGCACATGTAAGAATTGCTTTGTTCCTGTGACGTAAATGTAGTTTTTATAGAGGACTGACTGGCTGAGCTGAGTCTCAGCTAGGAATCAAACAGCAGTGGTATATTTCAGTGACATGTAGCCAAGAGTTTGTTGATTTCTGTTTTGTGATTTGGGAGTCCGTGCATAGCTTTTCGGGGCTTGGTGACTGGCACAGCTCATGTCCCCACACATTGTGGCAGGACCAGATGCTACAGGGGTTAGGTGGCCCTGCACGTGACTGGCTTGCCTGGACTTACTAGTTTGTTCATTATTAATAAAGCAAGCCACACTCATTATTTTCAAATGAAGATGGAGATTTTTTAAAGATTTCTCTCTCTCTCTCTCTCTCTCTCTCTCTCTCTCTCTCTCTCTCTCTCTCTCTCTCTGTCTCTCTGTCTCTGTCTCTCTGTCTCTCTGTCTCTGTCTCTCTCTCTCTGTGGGGGTGGTGGTGGAGGGCAGAGGTGTCCTCAGATGAGTTACAGGAAATCGTGAGCTGTGTGGTGTGGGTGCTGGGAACTAACTCAGGTCCTCTGTAAGATTAACACATGCTCTTAGCTACTGAGCCATCTCCCCAACCCCCATTCTCATTAAACAATAAAACAAGCATATAAATAGTAATTACCACCCTTCTCCTGCCGCATGCTTTGTTAATAAGCCCAAGATTTATTTTTAATTAGTTCATTTCTTTTAAAGTGCTGGCACTTGAACCCAGAACTTTGAACATGATAGGCAAGTACCATGCCATTCACCTACATACCCACCCCGTTTAAAATTTTTTGATTGCCTATCAATTAAAATATGGAAATAGTAGTGTTCCTAATGATGATGGTGACATCAGCGGATAATAATACTGTTAGCTGGTGCCCCTCAGTGCCCGCACTGCCTACCGGTGGTGCTTGCCTCCAGCCTGGAACAGCCACTAATGTCTTATGAAGGAGAATGCTGAGACTCAGAGGGTGAACTGGCCCAAGGTCACACAGTGTGAGCATGTTCCCGAGTGTGAGGGTCAGGTGTGGCTTGCTGCCACTGAGTATGGCTGCCCACCCTGTGAGTGGGCCCTTGCATTGGGCGAGGCTTTATTCTGGCTGCCGTGGCCTTTGGCCTGTGTTCTCATGACTTCATTTGGAAACATCGGTTACCTGATGTCACCAGAGGAGACAGGATTGTGGACCCATTCACGGGGAAATACTGGTTGGCTAGTGAGTTCCCGTGTGCGGTGTAGTGAAGGGCATGTGGGTGGAATGGGTCACTGGCCTCTTGTGGGACACAGGCTCCAGGCCCGGCCTGCTGGCTGAGTATGCCCTAGAACTAAGCTCACAAGTTGTTCCGGTTCCTGTGGAATTCAGACAAGTTTCATGTCCTACCCAGAAATGCAGGTGGTTTGTTTGTTTGTCTTATTGGAAATAGTATGCCTTTATTTTTCTTTCTTTCTTTTCTACTTGATATTCAAGTCTTTTTCCCTTGGTGTAAATATTTGTTTCTAACACATAGGAAAGATTATGTGCTTATTAAATGTTCAAGCAAAATATCTCCTTAGTTGTCATAGATCATTGTAGATCCATTTATTTATATTTAAGTCCCTGTGAATAATAAAATAATAAAACTTTAATAAGTTTATACTATACAGGGCCTTGAAATTTAACATTTTCCATCCACTGTATGGTATGTAACAGGTATATCACTCTTTTTTATTTTCCATTTTTTCTGAGACAGGGTTTCTCTGTGTAGCTTTGCGCCTTTCCTGGAACTCACTCTGTAGCCTAGGCTGGCATCGAACTCACAGAGATCCACCTGCCTCTGCCTCCCAAGTGCTGGGATTAAAGGTGTACGCCACCACCACCTGGCTGGTATCTCATCCTTTTAAAGTGCTGTGTGCATTCTGTCTCACAGATCACTTTAAGGAGTCCCCACGGTTAGCTTCTAACATTCCTCCTAGATTATTTCCTCTTCAGCAGTTGGAGCGTCACTGTGTTTTGGTCCATTCTTCCTATTATGTCATCAACATGAATTTCCGCTGCCGGAATCTGTGCTGAGCATCCTTTTTGATCTGTGGGATACTGTCCCTGGCAGGGTAGACAGTCCTCAGTTGCACTGTACTGTGGGACTCCACTGCTCAGGACTCTTATTTTTTTCTCCTTTCTCTTTTGTTCCACAGTTGAGTCTTCTTTACACCTGCAGACCCTCCCCAAGGCAGTTCAGAGCATCCAATTCTAACTTCTTCTTCCTGCTGGTGTTGCTGATTGGGCTGTGCTTAGCAATAATACCGCTAACAATCAGCATGTCTCGGTAAGTAGTTCTTCATTTTCTAAACTGCTCCTCTCTTTTGTGACTTGCATCTCAAGAACTCATGGGCTTTTCTAGAGCCCACAGACATGACTGCTGGCTTCTCCTGACCTACCTTTTTTTTTTATTTTCCTTTGTTTTGATTGGTCTTGCTACTTTTAAACCCCAGTGCTGGGGAACAGTCGGTGACGGCTTGGGGGATGGAGACAGGCAGCTCCCAGGACTCACTGACCAGCCAGACTGGTCAAAAGGGCAAGCCCCAGGTCCAGTGTTCACCAAGAAGCCCTGCTTTAAAAAAGGAAGACACTGATGTTGACCTCTGCCTCCAGGCACAGAGAGGCACATGCATGCACATGCATTTGTACACACACACACACACACACAAAGAGGAAACATTGCTATTTTATTCCTGCCAATTTCACATTTCTCAGCTGTCACAGCACAGTCTTCGCAGGTTTATTTTGAAGCAGCGGTCTTTCCCACTTGCCCCACTGTGTTCGGCTGTCCAGTCTTTGTAGTCGTCTTTGATTCTTTAAGGACTCCAGGCCGTTTTCTCTGTCTTTGGATTAAGAGACTGGGGAGTACGTATTTGTCTAATATGTTCATTCTGTGACATCAAGCTTCCATTTCTGCCTTGAATGACGTGCAAACTGAAAGTTAGACCTAGAGAGCTGATGTTATCTCAGGGTCAGCTTTTTCAGACACAATACTGCAGGAACTTCTGGACTTGGAAGTTGGCTGTAGGCTATTGTGTATAAATATGCTGGCCATGCATTGGCAGGCCTCTCAGCCTGGGCTGCATTCCCTGCCTGTCTGTCCTCACAGCATCCCTTCCTCGAAAGCCTGCGGGCCATTCACCAACTTCAACACCACCTGGGAGGTTATCCCCCTGACTGTGAGCACCTTCCCTAGCTCCCTTCAGACCCTGATCCATGGCGTCACCTCGGAAGCCTTTGCAGTGCCTTTCTTCATGATCATCTGGTAAGTGACCGTCATTCCAGACCAGTATGTCTCCTCTCACTTGGGTAACAGAGGATGTGTGTCAGAATGGTTTTTGTTACTGTGACAGAATACCAAGAGAATCGATTTAGAAGGAGGAGAGCTTCATCCTGGCTTGGGGTTTCAGACACTCCATTCCATGGTAACTTGGCCCTGTTGCCTCTGGCCCTGTAGTAGCCTAGTAGAGCATGGTTGGTGAAAGGAAAAGTATCAGCTCAGGACCTCCAAGACCAGGTTCTCAGTACAAAGGAGATTTATTTGTCCCAGAGCCACAAAGGGCAGGGAATAAGAGACAAAAACAGGAGGTAGAGGACAGGGAGAAGGGGAAGGGAACAAGGGAGAGGGGGACAAAGGACAGCCCCTGTATAGAGAGGAGACAGACGTGGCCCATAGGAAAGTGGCAGTTTATAAAGGAAAAACCCCATGTTAGGATGAGTGTTTAATTTTAACTGGGCATGTTGATTAACCAAAGGAGGCTTTTTTTTTTTTTTTTTTTTTTTTCAAGACAGGGTTTCTCTGTGTAGCTTTGCGCCTTTCCTGGGACTCACTTGGTAGTCCAGGCTGGCCTCGAACTCACAGAGATCCACCTGGCTCTGCCTCCCGAGTGCTGGGATTAAAGGCGTGCGCCACCACCGCCCGGCTCAAAGGAGGCTTTTGATGGCTGGACTTCAACACTTTGATAACTGGACCTTGTGTGGTCAGTCTCAGGAGGAGGAAGTGGCCAACTAAGAGAATAGACCTTGGTGGCTGCTTTAGGAATGTAATCTAAATGGTTTTTAGCAAGGCAGAGGGAATGGGAGAGAGGGGCAGGGCCTGCCAGAGGCACGCCCATCATGCTCGGGCTGGCCAGCGTCCCTTCAGTGGGAGCACGTGGTACAGGTGTTCACCTCATGTCCACTGGGAAGCAAAGAAAGAGGAAAGGACCTGGGTTTCGATATCCCCTTCAAGGACACACCCCACACCCCAGTGACCTACCTTCCTCTTGCTAGACCTCATCTCCTAATAGTACCACCTGCTGGGAGCCACAGTTTTAGCACATGGGCCTTTGGGAATACCCCAGAGTGTCACACGCAAGGCTTGACAAGTCACTGAACTTCTCTGAGCCTCACTTTTCCATTTTAAAATGACATAATAACACTTGCTTTTTCAGGGGAATGTTGACTAGACTCAAAGTTTACACACATAAGGCCTGAGCCCCATGTGCTTGCTTATAAAAACAGAAGACAAGGCCTATTTCTGACATCACTGGTGGTTTGCCGAAATCTCACACTCTATGGGGAAAAGAACCCCACAAAACAATGGATCAGTGGGTGACAGAAAACTCTGGAAAGTAGCTTGTGCTTGACCCCTGCTTCTGCCATGTCTAAGCCACAATTAACTGAAACTGACTGCACCTTCCACACCTTAACTTACAAATCACTCTTATCCTATGATATGATTAGTGGGGGCGGGGGGGGGGAGGGGGAGGAATCTTATTCCTCGCTGAGATTAATAAAATGACTTAGAGATGCTAAGCTAGCTGACCTGGACGCCGAGAAGCTGTACACACTGAACTATCAGCAATGGGTTAATAATTCGCCCAATGCCCCCTGGTGGTGGACATCTGCTCTGCCTTTGCTGTCTTTGGAGGCCTGTGGCTTGAAGAGACTTGGAGAATCTCTACATGTCCTGGTTATTTGGTCCTCATTTTATCAGCCCTGTCTGGGAAATTAGGCAGGACTGAGGTGAGATCGGCTTCTCCATGAACTGGGGGCTTGCCCTCTGTCCCACCATAACTTGACCCCATCTGAGACTGCAGACAGGAAGCTGTTAGTGGCTTTTTGTCCTAACTTTGTTGTCGCCGAGTTTTCCTGTATCCATCTCATAGATGAGGATACTAAGGTCAGAGTGCCTGCCAAGTGAGCGTCCCCAGCCAGTTACTAATAACTGACTTTCTGGACTTTTCCTCTTGTCACTTTGTCATTCCACACATCAGGGGAGGAGCATCTATAAATGAAAATTAGCCTAGAGAGTTAAAGACTTCTAAGTCAGACTCTCCTGGTTCCAGCTGTTTCTTCCATCTCTTTGGGAGATGTGCAGGCTTGGCTGCTTAGCTCTTTTTTCTAGCTAAAGAAAACATAATCCAGAGGAAATAGACTGTGTTGGTTTTTAGCGGCCCTGCAGGTGTCACAACCCCCGGATGAGTGTCGGGTGGTTTTTAACGGCCTGCAGTCCTGGGGTGCTTTCTGTTGACCTGCAGATGGTGCACCCTCCCAGTGATTAAGGGCAGTCTTCAGTGACGCAGGCTCCCTTACGACCCCGTCTGTCTGTCTTGCAGCCTTGTCATGTTCTACTTCATCGCACTGGCTGGAGCACACAAGCGGGTGGTGGTCCAGCTCCGAGAGCAGCTGTTCCTGGTAAGGAAGCACAGACCCAGAGGGTCACCGCCAGGGATATGAAACCAGGACTCCGGGCACGATGGCACAGGCCTGGAATCCTAGCACTCAGGAGGCCGGGGCAGGAAGGTTGCAAGCTCCACATATGCCTGGTCCACGCAGTGAGTTCTGCACCAGCGAGACCTTGTTTCAAAGAAAGAAAGGAGAAACAAAACAACCCTCTCTCATTTCATTCACTCACTCAGTTCATCCGGTACCACACCAGAAAGACGGAAGCATTGAAGCGTTAGAGAAGCGATGGATTTGGAATGGAGAGAGAGAGTTCAGGGTGTAGAGTGCTGCTGCACATGCGTGAGGACCCAAGTTCAATCCCTGGGAAAGGCAGGCATCATGGGTGCATTTGTAGTCCCAGCGCTGAGGGAGCAAAGTCAGGTGGATAGCTAGGCTGACTGGCTGGGAAGCCTAACCTACAGGCAAGTTGCTGGTCTAATTAAGAAACTTTGTCTTAAAAAATGGTGGATAGGGGGCTGGAGAGATGGCTCAGAGGTTAAGAGCACTGGCTGCTCTTCCAGAGGTCCTGAGTTCAATTCCCAGCAACCACATGGTGGCTCACAACCATCTGTAATGAGATCTGATGCCCTCTTCTGGCCTGCAGTCATGCAGGCAGAACACTGTATACATAATAAATAAATCTTAAAAAAAAAAAAAAAATGGTGGACAGGGAACTGTAAAGAGGGCTCAGTGGTTAAGAGCATGTGTTGCTCTGGTAGCTTCCAATCATCCATAACCCCAGTTCCAGGGAATCTGACACCTTCTTTTGACACTGCAGACACCGGGCATGCACATGGTACACATACATACATTCAGGCAAAATACTGGTGCATATAAAATAGACAAATCTAGAAATAATTTAAAAACAAGTATCACCGCCAACTCCCCAACCCCACTTGAGAAATGGTACCCGAGGTTCACTTGTGGCTGCCACATGAATATCCACATACATGCACACATGTTCCCCCACCTCCACATGGACATATACACTTCTGTTAGGGCACATACACACAATAAAATAAAGTCTGAAAACTAATTTCTGTGAAGATCATAAAAGCTAGGTTTGTGGAGTAACGGAGGAGCCAAGGCTACGGCAGCCAGCGGCTGTGGAAGGCCTGCTGAAGGAGGTGACATCAGGGGTGAGATGGGATGATGGCAGTAGCAGGTTATTAGAGGTCCTTATGGGCTGGAAGGACCCAGTGTGGGAATAAGCCAGGCACTCTGGGGAGACCAGAGCATGGGTGTGTGTGACTGGAGGGCTATGAACGATGGGTGGGGGGCAAGATGATTCTTTGACATTAGCCAGAGGTCACGACATTGCCTGGCAGATCTTAGAGGAGGTTTGGGTTTTGAGTATTTGGATTCAACTGTCTGCCTATCTGAGACTGGGTCTGTGTAGCCCAGGCTGGTCCCAAACTCAGTATGTAGTCAGGGATGACCTTGCACTTGTGATCTTCCTACATCACCTCCTAAGGGTTGGGGTTACAGGCATGGACCACCACACCCAATTTATGCAATGCTGGGGGTAGAACCCAGGCCTGTATGCATGCCAGGCACTCAGCTCCCATGTACATTTATTTCTAGAAGATCTCCAACTATCATGTGGACAAGGGGCTGTGGTGGGGACCCCAGTAAGGGAGACAGGTCAGACTGGAAGTCATGGTGGTAACCCAATGGCCAGATCCCTTACCTTGAGTCTGAATAGAGACTCACTAGATAGAAATAGTTTCGTACATTTCTAAACCTATGAGATGAACTTTGAACCTGTTTCCTTTTGTAGGAGAGTCGTGACAAGCGTTATCTCATCCAGAAACTAACAGAAGCTCAAAGGGATGTGCGGAGCCAGCCGGTTTGAGCATGAAGACACTGCCTGCAACTTCTCAGCATGTGACTCTGACGATGACCCTACAAGTCCACCTGGGTTTGAGTGGAAATGTTAAAACATATTTTTCTAGACTTTAAGGCTTTAAGCAACCTAGCCAAGTGGGCTGACACCTGGAGAGCTGTGGCTCAGATGGCCACCCAGGCTGACACCTGGAGAGCTGTGACTCAGACGGCCACCCAGGCTGGCACCTGGAGAGCCACAGCTGAGGATTTCACCCAAACACTAACTTCTCAAGCAGCTCAGGCTTTGTAATCGAACAGAGAGAGACTTTTATTTATTTTGTTTTTGTTTAGACTTTTGTATTTTTTAAAGGTTTGTATGTGTTGTTTTTTTCAAAGTAAAACTGAGTTCCCCTGTCTCCGAAGCTGGGTGGTTTCTTTGGAAGCCTTTCCAGGCTGAGTGAGTGCCCTCTCAAATGTCAGTGGTGACTTAAAATTAAACCTGGCTTCTTTTTTCAAACCAACATGCATCTTCAGGTGCTAAAGGCTGGGAACAGCTGATCAGAATGTGGAGAGACCATCATGGTAGCCTCTGCCACGTGCCCGGACCACACTTGAATTTCCGCCCATATCAGTGTCAGCCCTCGAGCAGGGCACTGGGGCAGGTTGGAGCCCCGCTTCTCGACTCTCCAAGCCTTTTCTGCAGCCTTATTCACTCCTCAAGGGAAAGTGATCCTAGCTGACTGGTTAGTCCCAACCTTCTGTTTCCACCTGCTCTGAGATTTGGTGACAGAATTGGAGAAGGGTAAAACCTTGCAAGGTGGATGGACAGTTCCTCTCTGTTTTCCAAATGTCTCTTCCTTGCATGGAGCTCTTCATTCCTGAAGGACCCCACATGTTTCAGAGCCAGGCTACAATGTGCTGTTTGGCATTGAAGCTGTGGCTGAGACTCAGGGGTTATATGTGTGATTGCAGATGTAGATCCATGGCCTAGCCTGTTCATAAGAACAGCCCATAATACAAACACAGGTTGCGTTCTGATTACTTAAATACACGTTCCAAAGGGCTAGGTTTTGTTTGCCTGCACTTAAAACTTTGCATGTGTGTACCTTTGTTTTTATAAAACATTACAAAAACGGAGTATCTCTTAAGATCTCCACTATAGTAAAAACCATATTTAATAAATACCTCATCACATGCTTTCCCAACGCTGACCCTTTTAATAGTGTCTAATTCAATCTGCTTCCACTTTAAAGTCTGTCAGAGTGCTGCAAGCCCTGTGACAGATACTTTGAGTCTTCTACTGTTTTTTACTGCCTCCTAACCTTTTCTGACATTTAAAATTAGGTTCATGTTTTAGAAAGCTGCCAAGAAGGATTTCCCTCCTCCAACCACTGCCTTGTTTCTCAAAAATGATTGGCTTCTTGCTCTGGAAGCAAAGCAAACTTGTCATGGCTAACACATCTGTGTGTGTATAAAGGGTTCCCCACTCTGTGTGTGTGTGTGTGTGTGTGTGTGTGTGTGTGTGTGTGTGTGTGTGTGTGTATAGATGGAACTCATCCTCAAGCCCAACACAATCATTTCTTTGATCTTCCATGAAGTGGTATTAACACAGGACATTTTTGTGCCTGTGAGAATGTGTTATTTCCTAACCTTTTCTTGTATTTGAAGATCTATAAATTTTTAAACCTAACGGGAATTTTGAATAAACCAAAGTTCATTCCATCCTCATTTTACAAATTCTAATTGTTGGCATTTTTGCCTAGTGCCTTCATATAATATTCTTGTCCCTCACCGTGCTCCTGAAGATTATCTACCTTCCTGTTTGTACAGATGGTGGATAAAATGAACAATATGCTGTTTTCTTTGTTATAAAATGGACAGCAAAATATGCCAACTGGTGTGTTAGTTTTAGTTAATGCTGCTAATGTGCATACCTCTTACTTGAATGTTTTGATAACTTTAATAACCAGGCAATGTCAGTTTAGTTTTTAAACCATACTGGCTCTCTAACAGATGTGTTAAACTACTGATTACACTGTGTCTTGAAAGTTTTAAAGTGTGTGTGTGTACTTGAACCCACAGAAGCACCTCGTCAAAAATCAAGTGATGAGGAAAATTGCAATACTCTGTAAAGTTGCTCTTTATTTTTCACTGAAGTTAGAGGAAGTAGCATTTTGACATCTGATGGATATGTTTGATGAGTTTTATCACTTCTTGGCTTTCCAGAAGCCAAAGAAAGGCATGTCTATGTGTTTGTGTTTAAAACTTCAAAGACAAAGATATTTTAAATATTTTATATCTTAGCACCATAGAAAACAACTGTTAGTGTTTATTTTATTCTATAAATATATAATAAACATTGAAGTAGATATATATGTGTTGGGTATGTGTTGTGAATACATATGTCTGAATTTCTTCTTTATAATACCTTGAAATTCTGTGCAAATAGCTACATCCTTCTTTTTACTGGCCGCATAGCATTGCCCAGCAGCGATACACATGTCCTGTAAGCATGCAGCCACTAATGGGTACTAGAAGTGGGTTTTGTTGTTCTTCCCCTACACACAACACTGGAAGATTCAACTTAAAAGCCTCCGTAAACATTTTCATTTTGCCCTCTTCTTCTGTAGGTTCTTGCTTTTTTTTTTTTTTTTTTTTTTTTTGGCAGACTGGCAGGTTCTTGCAGTCACAAAATGGTCTCATGTGTTGATATTGTGTTCCCCAAAATATTGTGCACCCTAATAAATTTATCTGGGGTCAGAGAACAGAACAGCCACTAGATACATAGGCCAGAAAATGGTGGCACACAAGCCTTTAATCCTAGCATTCCAGAGGCAGAAATCCATCTGATCTCTATGAGTTTAAAGCCACACTGGAAACAGCCAGGCATGGTGACACACACCTTTAATCTGAGAAAGTGATGGCAGAAAGCGGAAAGATATTTAAGGCATGAGGACCAGGAACTAGAGCTGGTTAAGCTTTCAGGCTTTCGAGAAGTAGTTCGGCTGAGATTCATTCTGGATAAGGACTCAGAAGCTTCCAGTCTGAGGAAGCAGGATCAGCTGAGGAACTGGTGAGGTGAGGTGGCTGTGGCCTGTTCTGTCTCCCTGATTTTCCAGCATTCACCCCAATACCTGGCCCCAAGTTTTTTTTTTTTTTTTTTATTAATAAGAACTTTTAAGATTCACGCTACAGTCTCATCCCAGTAAAAAGGAGAATCCAGTTAGGCAGGTCTTTAGTTTGCATTAACTCTTTTTAAGTTCGCAAATAAGATCTCGCAGCTGAAAATCTGATGGGCTGCTATCCACTTGGCTAAGTATTTGGAAACAAACTAATTCATTTTTTTTCCAGGGTGGCACAAGTCCCAACCCTGTGAGAAATTCTGAACACATCCTGACGCTGTAGTGTGCGGCTTTCCCAGAAGCCTGACCAGAGTGAGAGAAGTGACGGAAACATGGGATGTACCCTTGCGGTGTGACTGTGAACAAATGTCTTCACCTTCTTAGACAGCTTCCTTACATTTAAAATACAAAAATAAGACAAATCACTTTTCTATTTCAGCATTTGATTAGGGAAGCACATCCTCCTTGTTCCCTTTTGGAACATAGAAGTACTTACCATAGAAACTATGAGACCATTGAAAAACTACAGAGGCCAGCCTGGTCTCCAAAGCGAGTTCCAGGAAAGGCGCAAAGCTACACAGAGAAACCCTGTCTCGAAAAACCAAAAAAAAAAAAAAAAGAAAAACTACAGAGGAAAAATTAAAATTACTCATAAGTACACAACTTTTTTTTTTTTTTAATGAAGTACAGAGGCATCAGTGAGGCTGAGGCAGGCAGACTGCGAAGACTTCAAGGCCAACCTGGACTACACAGCAAGTTCCAAGACACCTGGAGACAGGGTGAGACTGTTATCTTATAACCAAAAATAAAAAAAATAAAGCACAAATAGAGGGAGAGAAGAAAAAATTGTAGTATTCTCACTTTCTCCACTTAAATGTTTTTTTATTTTATCCAAAGTTCTTTCACAGTTCATGGTACCGACATACACCTGTGAGCTCTGGAGGCTGAAGCAGCTGTAGCTGAGGCGAGCCTGAGTTACCCAATCAGATCTGAATTTTAAAAAAATCATTACACACATTCCAGGAAGCTGCTATTTGTGCTCATGAATCACATTTATTTATTTATTTATTATTTATTTATTTATTTTAGCATTCTCTTGATGGGGTAACATTAAATTTTTTTAATGTGATTTGTGAATTGTTGTTTTGGGGTTTTTTGCTCTTTTGGGGGGCCTGCCACCCAGCTCCAAATAAATCACACATGTAGGCTTATTTCTAATTATGAATGCCTGGCCTTAGCTTGGTTTGATTTCT